CTCTCTCTCTCTCTCTCTCTCTCTCTCTCTCTCTCTTATAATGAATTGAAATGTTGTCCAGAATTATATGGAATGAATCAAAGGATGGGAAAGATTATGGATTTGAATCGGTTTGACAGCACTTTCTTCGGACTAATGGATGAATTGGTGTTTGAATTAAAACCTGCGGAGAGAATGGTATTGGAAACGGCATACGAGGCCATTATGGACGCGGGTATGGGTCACAACATTCACACAATACAACACTATTAATATTTATAGCATAATTTCATATACTCTCACATATATTGTAGGCATAAATCCGGAACAATTGCGGGGCAGTCGACGGGTTGGGGTATTCATCGGGACGACTGTTTACTCAAACTGTGATTACATACGAGACGAGATTCAGCCGGACGTTATGACACCGATGGAGGCATTCACAATGATTAACACTACAATGGTCAACATAATGCTGGCCAACCGACTATCCTATGTGTTTGATTTGAGGGGCCCGTCGATGGTCATCGACACCGCCTGCTCGGCCTCTCTCAGTGCGCTCAATGTGGCACTTAATGACCTAAAACAGGGTATTTTATTTCAAACTACATTTATTATATTTGCTAATAATAATGTTCATAAGATGTTAGTATTAATAATAGTCTAGTTCACCTAAACATTGAAAATATTAAATTATTTTTACTGATATAATTTTATAAGTTAATGGGGCGGTCAGTATATTCCAATCGTGCCGTTTTCTTGATAACTTTTAAGCTAGAAGAAATAATCTAATTCTGTAAAACGTATAAAAAGCATCATGTGAATTTTTAAGAAAACGGCACGATTGGAATATACTGACCGCCCCATTTACATATGAAATTATTTTAATACAAATAATTTTATTGTCGCCATTCAAGTGAGCAAAAAACACAAAATTTTAGTAATGAACAATAAATATATGTTTTTATTAAAAGGTAATATCGATTACGCGGTGATCGCCGGCATTCACACAAACCTACAGCCGATGGCCTTACATGTGGGACAGGAGACAGGGCTTCTCTCCCCGAGGGGTCAGTGCTGTCCACTCGACGAGTCGGCCGACGGTTTCGTGAAGGGAGAGGCCGTGTGTTGTGTACTCTTACAGCGCCGGCAGTCGGCCTGTCGTGTGTACGCCAGCGTCCGATCGGCCGGTATTAACAACGACGGCAAGAAGACTATCGGTATGTTTTGCCCCTCCAGTGAGGCTCAGGAGGAGCTTATGGTCGACACCTATACCAAGGCTGGCATCGATCCCCTCGACCTCACATACATTGAGGCTCACATAACCGGCACTAAGGTATGCATATGTTATAAACGGAATATACTTTTATATTTAATATTTATAAATAATTTTCATAAAAACATAGGCCGGAGATCCGGCTGAAGTGCGGGCAATATACCGGGCGTATTGTGAGCGCACGGGTCGGACACAACCCCTGCTGTTGGGAACCCTGAAAGGCAATATGGGTCACTCGGAGGGCGCCTCCGGTCTGACGTCACTCATTAAAGTGATGATCGCTTTTGAAAATGAATGCATTCCTCCGAACATTAATCTCAAGAATCTTAAGCAAGAGTTCCGACAATACTGTCCGCCATTATTGCCGGTCACACAAAAGCTTAAGTATAAGCCGGGTATGAGTTAATACACATCTACATCTATGTATTATATTTAACATTATTTTATAATTAAACGTTATCTCACATAAGGTTTGGCTGCAGTGAACAACTTTGGTATCGGAGGAGTGAACGATCACGTGATCGTTGAACCCAACCCACGGGTGCCGAGCGGTGACAGCCATAGACTGTGCGAACCGATGGCCCGATTGGTGTTGATCTGCGGCCGAACCGAAGAGTCGGTCAAACATATCATGAATTTCATCGAAAGTTCGCCGAAGAAAGTGACCAAAGAGTTCGTCACTCTATTGTGTCGATCCATGAAATACACGCCTAATGTTAACTCAACCGGATTTCCCGTCAGAGGTATTCAATTCACATTCAATGGTATTATAATTAATTAACTCTTATTATTACAAAATTTAGGATCAATTATAATCAATGAGACAAATGATGGCAAAAGTGAAGTGAAATACAGTTATAAGAGACAGATATCTGTAATGAAAGACAAAACACTTCCACCCCTTTGGATGGTATTCCCGGGTTTGGGCGGTCAGTGGCCGGCAATGGCTAAGGCTTTAATGCCTATCAAGATATTCGCCGATAAAGTGGAAGAATGCCATCAAATACTACACGAGTTTAAGATTGACTTAAAATACATGTTATTATCGGACGACAAGACATCGATGTCTACAATGACTGCAAAGTATTGTTCGACGACTGCTATAGNCTGCAAAGTATTGTTCGACGACTGCTATAGAGATAGCGTTGTTTGAAGTGATGAAAGCGCTGGACATCACACCCGACGGCATAATTGGCCACTCGTTTGGAGAGATAGCCTGTGCTTACGCTGACGGGTGTCTCAGCACAAGGGATGCGATGATTGTCACGTACTTCAGGGGTGCCATCACTGAGAGTGACCCACAGATTCCGAAGGGTTTGATGGCAGTCGTGGGGCTGTCGAGGGCTGAGGCGCTCAATGTCTGTCCGGAAGGGGTTTTCGTTGTCTGTAATAACGCTAAAGAGTCTGTAGTCATATCAGGTATGGGTTCAGACAATCAATGGTTAAGAACTAATTGCGTATAATTCTTGCATTCAATTAAAGGTCTGAAAAATGAAATGAAGAAAACAATTGATTTGTTAAATAAAACGGGAGTTTTTGTGCGACAGTTAGAGAGCAGTGAAATCCCATTCCATAGCGAATACCTGCGCTCATCGGCACAGCCTATGGTCGACGCCATTAAGAAATATATGCTTAACCCTCGGCTTCGGTCAAAGAAATGGTTGTCCACTTCAGTGATGGTGTCGGAGCCCGAAGACGAGCGCTTGCGGTACGCGTCGGCCGAGTATTTTGTGTACAACTTTATGCACCCTGTTCAATTTTATGACCAACTCAAACACATTTCCACCGGTGCTGTCGTACTGGAGCTGAGCCCTCACTCGCTCTTTAAGAAAATAATCACCGAATCGGTGGACAGTTGTCAATACATTTCATTGATATCCAAAGACTCGAACCATAAAAATGTGGATCAGTTTCTGTCGGGAATCTCCAAACTCTACGAATTGGGTTTCAACCCATCGGTGGAGCGCCTGTACCCACCCATACAATGGCCGGTCCCTCGAAGCACACCATCGATCAGTTCCCTCTTGAAGTGGGATCACAGCCGAGACTTATCTACTTTTACAGCAAAATATCCCGAAAATATGCTGCGATATGTTTGCGGAGATATGAATGTTGTGGTGAACATCGGGGCCAAGAAAGACGACTACCTGTGCGATCACGTGGTCGACGGCAATAACCTGTTCCCAGCGACCGGCTATCTGATGCTCGCGTGGCGTCAAATGGCCGCCTCTTATGGCCAGACATGGGATAAAGTTCCGGCAGTTTTCGAGAAATGCCAGTTCTTGAGGGCAACGCTACTCTCGGCCGACGCCCCGACACGACTGACCGTCAAATACTTTCAACACTCGGGTATTGACACCGAAACCCATTTTACGAATAAAACAAATTAATAATTGTTTTACAAAATTTAAGGCGAATTTATAATAATGGAAACCAATATACTCTGCGCCGTCGGTACTGTCCGTCGGGGCGCCGACGATATGCTGACCGAACAGCACCTCATCAGTGATGGACAGCCAGTGGTGTCGGAGTGTGAGTACCGGTTGGACAGGGAGTCCATTAGGAAAGAGATGCTGCCGTCGGTACTGTCCGTCGCGGCGCCGACGATATGCTGACCGAACAGCACCTCATCAGTGATGGACAGCCAGTGGTGTCGGAGTGTGAGTACCGGTTGGACAGGGAGTCCATTAGGAAAGAGATGCATATCCGGGGCTATGAGTACTCTAAAGGGTTTCAAAGTTTGCTTAACATCCGGACCGCAGACTTTAGTCACGCGAACGCAGACATCGAGTGGACGGGAAATATGGTAACATTTCTGGACGGTTTGCTACAACTGGCCGTCAATACAGTTAATCCCTTCCGGAAACTCGTGGTTCCGGTGATGATCGACGCCATACGTGTCGACCCGAACACACTCTTCGAAGCGGTGAAAAGAAATCGTTTGGCCGATGAAGTGGTGGACACAAACGACGGCTATGAAGTTGACGGCACTAATATATCGGGAGTGGACATATGTCTCGCCGATTATGTCCCCAACAGTGCGTCCGAACGGTTCGCGATCTTCAGCTCCCGATTGCCGGTAGTGTTTGACTCGAGTGTGAATTGTGTGCTCACATACGGCGCTGAAGTGTATAATATGGTCACCGCTCCCATCACTAGGAAAACTGATCCCAATATGGTTTTAGAGAGACATCAGTTTATCCCAAACGACGACAACACAGCCATCGATGACAGACATAGGAAACTTCTTATTGATAATATTGAAGTTTGTATTACTTAACCTCTCTCTCTCTCTCTCTCTCTCTCTCTCTCTCTCTCTCTAACAAAATATTTCATTGCATAATAGGTTTGTAAAGCAATTGCTGTGAAAATACGTGAAATGGGTTTCAAAGAAATGAAATGTGATTTCAATTACAGAAAGATAAGCGAAGAAGTGATTCAAAGCCATAGAAATGCAAACTTTGATAATAACGTTATGTTTAAGATTTTGGATAAAATTTACGAAACGATTGCTAAACAAAACATTAAACCAAACGATAAATTCATGCTTAAAAAGTTATACAAAGAAATACAATCTAATGCTGAATACGATTTAAGCCATGATTTAGTAAATCTTGTAACAAAAAATGAGCACTTAATCCGATTTATGGTTGAAATAATCGGCGAAAATGTTTTACCCGTAAAACAGATGAAAGTCACGGAAATTAATCTCACAAATGATTTGATGGTAAATCATATCAAAAAAACTCTGGTTTACTCTTTGTTTATCTGGTCTGATATCGACTACAAATTGATTGTTAAATCCAAGCAATTAATACCCAATTATCTCAAACCCAATGCTTTTGAATGGGATATCAAAGAGAGTTTAATTCTCAAAACAAATCATTTGCTTGTCTTAAGATATTCACACCATTTATGGGAATTGGATTTACAAGACTTGATCCAAGACTTGTCGGACGCCATCGTGCTTTTGAATGGGATATCAAAGAGAGTTTAATTCTCAAAACAAATCATTTGCTTGTCTTAAGATATTCACACCATTTATGGGAATTGGATTTACAAGACTTGATCCAAGACTTGTCGGACGCCATCGAAAGCAATGGATTTCTATTAACAGTATTTCGATATAAAGTGACGGAACCGGAGATCGCATTGAATTCATTGTTTGGGAATTCAGTCACGGATTCAGATCTCGAGAAACGGATCAATGATTTTATGACTTATGGCAATGAAATGGGATTAAGAGTGATATGCAGTAAATGCGATACAATTGGTTCAAAGGCTGTACTCTTCAGGAAAGTCTCGGAACCCATACTTCCGGACAAACAAAATATAATCCGGTTTAACGACAAATGCGAGCAATGGTTCCCAGTATTGAAGGACAGATTACTGATGGCCAGTGAATTGGGTGCCGACAGTCCTCGGGTTTGGCTCATTGCCAGCGACTCGTGTTATAACGGAGTAATGGGTTTAGCAAAGAGTCTACGTCTGGAACCGGGAGGCGAACACTTCAGATATATTTTCATTTACGACAAAAACACCGCAAATACAGACATAGACTTCAATACAAAGCCATTCAGCGATATATTGGCCAACGATTTGGTGTCAAATGTGATCAGAGATGGAAAACTCGGTTCCTATCGATACCAGAGTTTTTGCAAAAATTTTAATAAAATCAAATCAAATGAGTATTACTTGGGTTTAGGAAAGGGTCGGGACTTGTCGTCAATCGAGTGGACGGACGCCACCTCTGCTCCGATTACTGACACCTATTATGACGTGAAGAACAAATTGAGACAATCGGTCAAAATCGAGATCTACTGCTTGGCCATAATCTTTCGGGACGTACTCATAGCCACCGGTCTGTTATTAAGACTGCATTTACATAACAATAAATCAATAATTTTTGGCTTAAATTATTGATAATTTCAGGTGAAATACCGGCGCTTTCAGACCTGTTTGAGCAACAAATTGGTCACGAGTTTGCCGGCCGTCAGGCCGATACCGGGGAACGGGTTATGGGTATAAACCACGGCAAATGTGTGGCCACCAGTACTCGTGTGGACCCGTATTTGTTCACAACAATACCCGACAACTGGTCTATGGAAGAGGCGGTCACTATTTTGAGCCCGTATTTCACGGTATGGTATGGACTGATAGAGAGGGCACATATCAGACGAGGTTTGAATTGCATTTATTTAGTATATGTTTTAGTAATTAATTAATTAATTTGTAAACCATAGGCGAGATTGTGTTAATCCATTCGGCGGCGGGAGGTGTGGGTCAGGCGGCCATTAATGTGTGCCAACACTACGGCTGCGATATATACGCGACGGTCGGCACCGAAGAGAAGAAACAGTTTCTCATAAATACATACAAAATACTGGAGAATAAGATATTCTCGTCGAGAAGTATTGAATTTAAGAGTCAAGTCATGCGATCGACTGCCGGACGGGGAGTAGATGTAGTGCTCAACTCTTTGGCCGGCGATAAGTTGGACGCGAGCTATGAGTGTGTGGGCACAGGCGGACGGTTTGTGGAGTTGGGAAAAATGGATATGTTTATGAATAAAAAGCTTCCGATGTATAACTTATTGAGGGATTTGTGTATTATATGTGTTTCACTGGACGAGAGTGTATTGGCCCGCGAGTATGTTTGGGACGCTTTTTATACATGGGTTCACCAGAACTGCACCAATGGATGCGTAAAACCGTTGAATCGGACGGTATTTCCGGCCGAAGACGCCGAGAAGGCCTTCCGATACATGACTACCGGTAAACATATCGGGAAAATAGTTATCCGTATTCGTGAAGAGGAGGCGAACCGAAAGCCGTGGAAATGCGTAAAACCGGCCGATAGTATGACTGTTAGCACAAAGACTTACTTCAATCCCAATAAGACTTATATAATAACCGGAGGTTTGGGTGGCTTTGGGTTAGAGTTGTGTCAATGGATGGTATATAACGGGGCTGCCTGTGCTTACGCTGACGGGTGTCTCAGCACAAGGGATGCGATGATTGTCACGTACTTCAGGGGTGCCATCACTGAGAGTGACCCACAGATACCGAGGGGTTTGATGGCAGTCGTGGGGCTGTCGAAGGCTGAAGCGCTCAATGTATGTCCGAAAGGGGTTTTTGTTGTTTGTAATAACGCTAAGGAATCTGTAGTCATATCAGGTATGCGTTCAGACAATTAGAGTATAAAACTGTTAATAAAACCAAATTTAGTGTAATTTAAAAAAATTGATTTTAAGGTCCGAAGAAAGAAATGGTGGAAACAATTGATTTGTTGAATAAAAGGGGACTTTTTGTGAGACAGTTAGAGAGCAATGAACTCCCATTCCATAGCGAATACCTGCGCTCATCGGCACAGCCTATGGTCGACGCCATCAATGAATATATGCCTAACTCTCGGCTTCGGTCCAGGAAATGGTTGTCCACTTCGGTAATGGTGTCGGAGCCCGAAGACGAACGCTTGCGTTACGCGTCGGCCGAGTATTTTGTACACAACCTAATGCATCCTGTTCAATTTTACGATCGACTCAAACATATACCCACCGGTGCTGTCGTATTAGAGTTGAGCCCGCATTCAGTTTTTGGCAAAATAATGGCCGAATCGGTGGACAATTGTCAATACATATCATTGATATCCAAAAACTCAAATCATAAAAATATTAATCAATTTCTGTCGGGAATCTCTAAACTATATGAATTAGGTTTCAATCCATCGGTGGAGCGCCTGTACCCACCCATACAATGGCCGGTCCCTCGAAGTACACCATCGATCAGTTCTCTTATTAAGTGGGATCACAGCCGAGACCTATCTGTCTATACGTCTAAATGGCCGCAAAATAAGTTACGATCCGTTTCCGGGGATATGAATGTTGTGGTGAACATCGGGTCCAAGAAAGACGACTACCTGTGCGATCACGTGGTCGACGGCAATAACCTGTTCCCAGCGACCGGTTATCTGATGCTCGCGTGGCGTCAAATGGCCGCCTCTTATGGCCAGACCTGGAATAAAGTTCCGGCAATTTTCTCGAAGTGTCAGTTTTTGAGGGCGACATTCCTCGCAGCGGACGTATCGACAAGACTTACCGTCAAATATTATAAACGAACGGGTATTTGAAATAATTTTTAAGCGATTCTTATAGTTATTAAAACTAATTTAGAGCAACCAAAAAATGAATCATATAATATACAGACTATACCAAAACCATGAATTAGTCAAAAAATCATAGTAAAAGTAATGCTTTAAAATGACAAAATAGTTGTAATAGTCATTATTGTGCTCAAAACTATGAAAAAAGCATCCAAAAAGCATCATAACGGTTGCCTTAATTAAAACATTTGTGACATTATGATTAGGCGATTACAGTATCGAAGAAAACGACATTATATGCGCCGTCGGGACTGTCCGTCGCGGCGCCGACGATATGCTGACCGATCAGCACATCATCAGTGATGGACAGCCAATGGAGTCGGAGTGTGAGTACCGGTTGGACAGGGAGTCCATTAAGAAAGAGATGCATATCCGGGGCTATGAGTACTCCAAAGGGTTTCAGTCGTTGACAAATATGCGGACCAATGATTTCAGTCGGGTTTCGGCGGACATCGAGTGGACGGGAAATATGGTTACATTTTTGGACAGTTTGCTACAAATAACCGGTTGTTTGTTTCCCTTCCGGAAACTCGTGGTTCCGGTGATGATCGACGCCATACGTGTCGACCCGAACACACTCTTCGAGGCGCTGAAGAGGAATCGTTTGGCCGATAATGTGGAGGACACCGCCGATGGCCAAGTTGTTGACACAACTAATAAAGAAGAGTTTACCAGATGTTTAAACGACAACTTCAACAGCAATTACAATAATAATCTTAGGGAACGGTTCCAACTCTTTCGCTCACAATTGCCAATAATATTTGACTCGTTGACCAATTGTGTGCTCACATACGGGGCTGAAGTGTTTAATATGGTCACCGCTCCCATCGCGAAGAAGACTGATCCCAATATGGTTTTAGAGAGACATGAGTTTATCGCAAACGACGACAATATGGCCATCGATGACAGACATAGAAAACTACTTATTGATAATATTGAAGTTTGTATTACTTTATACTCTCTCTCTCTCTCCCTCTCTCTCTCTCTCTCTCTCTCTCTCTCTCCCTCTAACAAAAATTTTAATTGTTTAATAGGTTTGCAAAGCAATGGCTGTAAAATTAAATAAAATTGGTTTCAATGAAATAAAATGTGATTTTAATATCGGAAATATTAGCGAAGAAGTGGTCCAAAGCTATAGAAATACAAACTTTAATAATAACGTTATGTTTAAGATTTTAGATAAAATTCACGAAACGATTTCTAAACAAAACATTCAACCAAACGATAAACACTTATTAAACGTGTTATTTAATGAAATGCAATCGAATTGTGAATACGATTTAAGCCATGATTTAGTAAATCTGGTTACAAAAAATGAGCGATTAATCCGTTCTATGGTTGAGATAATCGCCGAAAATGTTTTACCCGTAAAACAAATGGAAGTAACGGAAATTAATTTCACAAACGATTTGATGGCAAATCATATCAAACAAACTCTGGTTTACTCGTTAATCACGTGGTCTGATGTTGACTACAAACTCATTATTAAATCAAAACAATTAATACCCGATTATCTCAATCTTAATGCTTTTGAATGGGATATTAACGAGAGTTTAATTCTTAAACTAAACCATTTAATTGTTTTAAGATATTCACACCATTTATGGGAATTGGATTTACAAGACTTGATTCAAAACATGTCGGACGCCATCGAAAGCAATGGATTTTTATTAACAATATTTCGATATAAACTGACGGAACCGGAGATCGCATTGAATTCATTGTTTGGGAATTCAGTCACGGATTCAGATCTCGAGAAACGGATCAATAATTTCACGACTTATGGCAATGAAATGGGATTAAGAGTGATATGCAATAAATGCGATACAATTGGTTCAAAGGCTGTACTCTTTAGGAAAGTGTCGGAAACAATACTTCCTGACAAACAAAATATAATTCATATAAACGGCAAATGCGAGCAATGGTTCCCACTATTGAAGGACAGACTACTGATGGCCAGTGAATTGGGTGCCGACAGTCCGCGGGTTTGGCTCATTGCCAACGACTCGTGTATAAACGGAGTAATGGGTTTAGCAAAGAGTCTACGTCTGGAACCGGGAGGCAAACACTTTAGATATATTTTCAATTACGACAAAAACACCACAAATACGGAAATAGACTTCAATACAAAGCCATTCAGCGATATATTGGCCAATGATTTGGTGTCTAATGTGATCAAAGATGGAAGTCTCGGTTCCTATCGATACCAGAGCTTTGAAAAAGATTTCGATAAAATCCAATCAAATGAGTATTACTTGAGTTTAGGAAAGGGTCGAGACTTGTCGTCACTCGAGTGGACGGATGCCACGAACTTCACCACTACTGACCACTACTACGACGTGACCAACAAAAAGAGGGAATTAGTAAACGTCGAGATCTACTGCTCGTCCGTTATTTTCCGAGACGTACTCATAGCTTCCGGTCAGTTGTTTAGACATACATTTTCGTAACAATAAATAAAATTTTTACTTGAATTGTTGGTATTTTAAGGCAAAATACCGGTGTTTTCAAAGATATCCGATCAACAAATTGGTCACGAGTTTGCAGGCCGTCGGGCAGATACCGGGGAACGGGTTATGGGTATAAATCACGGCAAGAGTGTGGCCACCAGTACTCGTGTGGACCCGTTTCTGTTCACAACAATACCCGACAATTGGTCTATCGAAGAGGCGGTCACTATTTTAAGTCCGTATTTCACTGTATGGTATGGACTGTTAGAGAGGGCACATATCAGACGAGGTTTGTTAGTAATTGATTTTAAAATATGTTAGCATTAAATTTTACAATCCATAACACCAATAGGCGAGAGTATATTAATCCATTCGGCGGCAGGAGGTGTGGGTCAGGCGGCCATCAATGTGTGCCAACACTACGGCTGCGATATATACGCGACGGTCGGCACTGAAGAGAAGAAACAGTTTCTCATAAATACATACAAAATACCGGCGAAAAAGATATTCTCGTCGAGAAGTACGCAATTCAAGAGTCAAGTCATGCGATCGACTGCCGGACGGGGAGTGGATTTGGTGCTCAACTCTTTGGCCGGCGATAAGTTGGACGCGAGCTATGAGTGTGTGGGCACAGGCGGACGGTTTGTGGAGTTGGGAAAAATGGATTTGTTTCAGAACCGAAAGCTCCCGATGTATAACCTATTGAGGGATTTGTCTATTATTGCCGTTTCTCTGGATGAGAGTGTATTAGATAGAGAACATATCTGGCATACATTTTACAGTTGGGTTCACCACAACTGCAGCAATGGTTGCGTAAAACCATTAAATTGGACCGTATTTTCGGCCGCAGAGGCCGAGATGGCCTTCCGATACATGACTACCGGTAAACATATCGGGAAAATAGTTATCCGTATTCGTGAAGAGGAGAAAAACAAAAAGCCGTTGAAACTAATAAAATCGGCCGATAAATTGACTGTCAGTACAAAGACTTACTTCAATCCCAATAAATCCTATATAATAACCGGAGGTTTGGGTGGCTTTGGGTTAGAGTTGTGTCAATGGATGGTATATATGGGCGCAAAAAGATTGGTGTTGACCTCCCGTTCGGGTCTTAAAAATGATTACCAGAAATATATTGTCAATCGATTGAAGGCTTTCGGCAAAACAAACAAAGCATTTAAAAATCAGATCATTGTTTCTACGGCTGACTGTTTAACTATTGAGGGGACAAAACAACTGTTGGATGAGTGCAAAGAGTTGGGCGCACCCATCGGTGGTGTCTTTCATTTGGCCCTCGAGTTAAACAATTGTCTCTTCAGTGAAGTGTCTTTCGAGACATTCATGAAAACCGTTGACATAAAAGAGAAGATATGCCAAAATTTGGATCAATTTAGTCGAGAGTTGGATTATTATTTAGATTATTTTGTGGTGTTTTCGTCCCTTTCATCCGGATTGGGAATTGAGGGCCAACTGAACTATACTTACGGTAACTCTATTTGCGAGCGTATTTGCGAACAGAGACAGAGAGACGGCCTGTCGGGTCTGGCCGTACAGTTTGGTCCGATCGGAGACGTCGGAGTGATGTCTGATATGACACAAACGTTTGCATTTACGACAACTCAGAAACAACGGATACATTCGTGTTGTGAAGTATTGGACAAACTATTGGCCGTACAATACCCGGTCGTATCTGTAAATGTATGCATTACTAATATTAAATAGTTTATTTACATTTAACTCAACAATAAATATATTAATAACTAATAATCTAATGCACCAAGTGCAAAGTTTCAAATGAATAACATTTATATTGTTAAAAACAGGTGAAAACAGTGGAGAACTCATTGTTAAAACTGGACACTGAGACTAAAGAGGGCTCGAAATGGTTTATACACAAGTTGTGGGGATCTCTAGGTATCGACCCGTCGGCCACTCCGGCGGACACAACTTTAGGAGAGATCGGAATTGAGTCCATATTTGCCTCAGAATTACAGCAAGAAATGGGAAAACTCTGTAATCAAACGATTCAACTAAAGTTCATTAAAGACATGTCTGTCGGACTGCTTCGGGAGTTTGAGTCCGAAGGCGATGACAACATTAAAGGCTATTTTAATGGCATAAAAAAGGCTCAAATATCGCTCTTAAAGTATAGGTTTGTGATTCCTGTGGAAACACACGTCAGACTCAATGGTGTCTCAAACGGAAAGCCTTTGTATTTAATGCCGACTCTGGAGATGGGGTTTGCATTGTATGACCATTTGGTTCAAAATATTAACCGACCGGTTGTTGGACTCAATTGGACTCCAGTTGTGAATAGATTGTCAACTTTGAAGGAAGTGATGAAATACTTCACTGATTTGATGGCAAGACTCGAACCAAATGGTGGTTACGATGTGTTGGGATCGACGGACGGAGCGATCATTTGTGGCCAACTCTTGCGGAAAGGTTTGGCAGAGAAGGCGGTTATGATTGACGTGCTGTCGAAACAGCGTTTCCGAGAGGACGACCTGAAGGATGATATGGTATTGGAGTTGATATTGAATTGTCTTTTGGATGACTTACCCATCGATTACAAGAGGAGGATATTGAGAGACAGTTGTGACCAAAACATTAAGTCCAGAGTCAAAAGAATTGGCGCTGAATTACGTGAGTTTGTGGGAAAAGCAATGATATCTCAAGACTTGGACCTAATGTTGGAAACAATGGTTAAACGGATCCGAATGTTATGGACGTATAGATTGAATAAAAAACAAAAGTTTGGAAACGATTTCAAAACAATGATTAACAAGAAGTGGCCAAAAATGAACGACAAATTTGTGGTTATATTAATGTCTTCACAATTGGACTCAATGGACGACAATAGTAATGAATATCTCAATACTTCTAATCATTTCTATTTGATTCCTAACTCAGAGGTATATATTAATAATTTATTCATTGTAACAACAATTTATTTATACATTATATATTTTTATAGGATTTGCCCTCAAATATAACTACTGTTTGTGTGGACACAAGTGAATCAATTCAAGTGACAAATACTGTAATCGTTGAGAAATTGGTCCAAATATTCAACAAATAACTTTCAAATTTTTTAACGCTTTAAATATCTTATTATGATATTTAAACTGATGGAAACGGAAACTTTATTAATCACCTTATTGTCCGTTTACAAATGGTGGTGGCAAAACTGATTATGTGGAATATTTAACCTTAATCTTTTTATCTTTTAAATGAAATTAATTTACATATAATTACTTGATTAGTTTTAAATACAACCAGATTTATTTTTAAAGTATATGGTTTGTTTTGCTTGTTTTTTGTAGTTAATAGAAATACCTTAATAAAATGATTTGATTAAAAATTTGAGTTTTAATAATAATAATTTAAGTTTATTACAAATATTTTAACGTTATTAATTGTGTATTAACGTGACGTATACATTAGCTCAAATGACATCAAAGTTAAGAAAAAAAGTTAAGCTTATAAGCGTACGTTAATTTAATTGCAAATTAATATTTCATGATTAATACAATCGCTAATCTCGTCACCATGGTGGCCGTAATAAAATTTATAATCAATTTTGCCCACAAGTTGAGCCCCGTGTGTATCGCACCGTCCAATATATGTGTCTGTATTGGGCCGACCCTTATTGCCGGCTACGAGAGCACCGGTAGGGACGGGGTCTCTGCCGTGTCGGGGAACCCACTCCACACCGTTGGCCACCAATACCTCAAACTCGTGCGACCTTTTGATTGTAACTTCACTCCCACCCCACGTGAGGACACAACCGACCACTTTGTGCGCTCTGCCGGCTATGAGGTCTCCGTTGTGTTTGTGTCGACATATAGTGAGCGGTGTTTTGTCGATATCATAACCGGCTATATATGCGTTGCCCGGGATTGTTGTTTGACTCGCATTAACCCAACTGTACGCGCATTTGGCTGCAAAATAAAAATCTGATTTTATTCAAATGAGTAATAAACTGTAACAATTATAAAAATTATAATTATTATAATAGAAATAGATTATAAAATAGCAAACTTGGACGACTACACTCACGATCATTTTTGCAGAACACATTATTAAAATCACTAATACCTTGTACATCATGTCCGGTAGATACAATTTTTAAACATACTGTTTTTTAATTTAACTAAAAACATATAAAAATTCATACTTTCTTTATTATAATTGGAATTTGTTGTGATAATAAATGTGCGGATTTGTTGCGGCGTTAATCTAACGATCATATCATTGCCATCACTGTCTCCACCGCTCATATTATATGATTTTGTAATGTGTTTTGAGCGCCACTCCAGACGTTTGGTCTCCGATAGCAACTCATTGGCCGCTAAATTCATTTCAACCACTTTTTCAATGTTTAGAGTTTTTAACACTTTTTGCAAATTAAATTCAACCGGTTTTGAGAGCTCGTGATTGTCGGCCATCTCATACATGTGCTCAAAACGAACCAACACTTCCCGTTCTGACCACTGCTCTAATGTTAGCAAATGTATGTTTTCGGGCAGTGAGTCGCCAATTGCCGTAAAACTTGTGGCAAATTTTTGCGAATAGTCGTCAACTGTCGAGTATCTACTAAACGACACAATTGGTCCCATAAACAGACTCTGCGATAGACTTCGCATCAGTTTTGGTGAGTCGGCGATGGGCTGGAAGTAGAGGTAGTGTCGGCCCCGGACTACCAGTCCTTTACCGTCTACTCCCGGTTCGTCAATCTTGAAATTACCGCCCCTTCCCGTGTTGTGTAGTCTCCGGTGAACCATAAGCTCTATCTGACCGTTCATTAGTGATGAGCCACCCTGTGTTCGGTCATTGAGCAAAGTCATTTGCAGGCCTAGATATAAATTGATTGGTTAGTATTATATTTATACCGACGTAACATTATATCAACGTTATTTGCATTAAAACTGTAATTGAGAATAATTTATTCAATTATATTTATCATTATTTATAAAAATAACTTATTTCTGGACTCAAACAATCAAATCGTTTGAATTTATATTAATTTGATTAAATTACGACAAATTAAAAATGTCAACATTATAATTAGAAAATAATAAAATTATAATTATTATTTTAATTTTGGTTTATCATATTTTAATAAAATATTTTGTAACTTTATGCTTGTAGTTTGGGTCTTGTTAAGTGCATGTGTTAAATATTTTAATACAATTAAAACATACCTCGATTCTCGTCCTTTACAAACACATGACTATAAATGGGAAACCAATTGGCAGTAATCACGTTATCCTTACAGCCTTTGGCGTTGACATTGAATTTCCGACGTATAGTCTGCCGGCCATTAGAGTCCGTATAAAACACGCCATCGGTCTGGAGGTCGGACTCAAATCGGGTGACAATCTCTTTGCCAATCTTGTCGGCCATCGGTATCGGACCGACCGTCCAATCAAACTCAATGTAATCCCTGTCCTCATATGTGCGCACCGTTTGGTGTATATAATCGGCAAACTGTTGGTTCAGCTCATGTACGGCATCCGACGTATGACTTGAAATCAACTTTTGCTGTCTGTAGTGCCGGGCGTTGCCGTCCGGACAGAACTGATAACTCCCGGAGTCCTCGCGACCCGACTTTGATTGCATTGATTTATACCATTTGAACGATTGATTCAATCTGTGTTTCTGACCGTTGAGTGTAATTGTCTGGAGAGCACCGGTAATCCCGTCCACTTGCAGTATAAATGATTTGCCCTTCATTTCAACGCTCACCTCATCCATCAATTGGTCTGATGAAACAATTTAAAAAAACAAATAAAAATTTGCTTATGGTGTAAATTTACTATAATAAGGACATTTAATACATTATTATATTATTTGATGTCATCGTAAGTTACAATCCAACATGAATATTTTATAAAGTGTTTAATATTCTATATAAACAAGATCTTTGATTAAATTACAGTCTTTGTTAGCTAGCAATCAATTGGTATGACTTTAGATCCTAAAACTTGGCGCATTTGTGTTCTGCGCATACCCAGCCCTTAGTCATTACTTAAGCCCTTTATATTTGTTATTTGTAATGTATTGCAACTTTAATATCTGTACTTTAATTCACATATGAATAATATAAAGGGCATAACTAATGAAATTGAGAGCTAGGGCTAAAAGTGTTCTCGGGGGGATATCAATGTGTTCTCTGGGGTGTTTTAGGATCTAAAGGTATGACAAACTAAATAGACAAAGAAAGTATACTCAGGGTGTTTATATACTAAAGCCAATTTACACAAATCTTATTTAATTTCGTAAAAATATATTTTGTTTTATAAAATTGTAAGTTTCTATAAATTAGTGTTATAATTATAATATCTGTCGCAGGCAATTCAATCCAGAATAAATATTTTATTAAATGTTTAATATTTACTATTAGCAAAATCTTGGATTAGATTACAGTTTTGTTTAATAATTTGTTTTAAATATTTAAAATAATTTAAAATAATTTCATACTCTTATCGGTTTTATTGTGTTTCTCAACAAAATATGTGGTGAATCCAAGAGCCGGTAGCCTAGCGTTGAACACCAGCTCATGTGTGGCGAGACTACCTTTACGTTTGGGCAATAGTCTGACCGCTTCGGACACCGGGAGCAGTGATTTGGCCCCGACTTCAGCACCTGTCGAGTCAAACACACGATACACACCGTCAGTGACCGGCACTCGTAAGTAGTGAGTGACGGGTCGGGCGATTGGGTTATAGGCAGTGACGGCCACCCGATCCGCGCTCTCCGTTAGCGTACAGTCGGTTATATTGAGTGAATCACAGAAAACATCGGTTACGACGACCTGTTTCTCGGAGTCGTTTGACTTGAGATAACTATAGGCCCGACGTATGAGTTGTTTGGCGGCCGCGTAACCGCTCTGTAACCGACTGGCGTAGTCATCGGCAGTGGCCTGGGGTGACGTTCCCGTAATGGCATCATGGTGAGTCAATATGGCCATTTCATTACGCGCTTCATCCAAATATGCAGTAGTTTTTGAAGGGTCTAAACGTGCTAATACTGATAGTTGTTTCCCCGCCTGTAATTATTAATAATTTAAAATATTTACAAATAATATATCAACTAATGATAAAACAATTAAATAAAAAATCTCAAAAATGTCTGCATTTTTAGATAGTTTAAAGACTGTATTTATATTTATTTAATAATAATAATATTATTCTTAAAATAAGAAAGTATTTTATTTGGGATTGCTGGCCTCATTGTTAATTTTATCAATTTAATTCATATATAAAAATAACAATAAAAACAAACTTTTAAAAATTACTTACTTTAAAATTATTAATGGTATTTAATTCATGAAATATTTTATGTAAAATAATTTCAACAAAAAATAAAGGAATTTTACAATAGGGCCCAAATCATGATGAGTTCACTTGTGATTGAAGCTAATTTTGAAAAATTTTAACAATACAAGAAACTGTAATTTAAAATAGTTTTAATTAACTAATTATCAACAACACTTTGTGATGTACAATAATTGGGAACAGTCCACATTTGGAATATAATTTTTTTAGTAATAATAACAACTATACAATTAAGTGTATATAATGATTTTTAAAAATTATTCTTATTTAAATAAAGTTTTTTTTAAATAAAAATATAAATATTTTTTCTAACCTGAAGTATATTGTTTGCCAACCTATCCTGGTACTTGAGTGCCGGTCTATTAGAGTAGTACCCGACCCAATAGGATAGATAATCAACATTGCGGTCATCGAACGTACGGTTCAAACCATTCACTGCCTTCACATAGCAATCGGGCGATGAGTAAAACAAATTAACATCAGGGTAATTAGCTTTTGCCTCCTTGATCATTTTGTCCATGTTTTCAAACCAATCGTTGGCTGTCTTGTACTTAAAATCATCGCCCATGGTAACCAACACGTGATTGGTATTACCGTAATCATTATTCCAGTTGCGAGCATTATTGATAAATTTTTTGGTTTTAGCATGAACATTTCGGTGGCTAATCCTGTTATGACCATCTTCAAAGTTGTAGTCATTGGGTGCGCTATAGTGCGAGTGTAATATCGTGGTAAATATACGCGTGTTTAGGTCGGGTGACACGTGCCATATGTACTCTCCCTTATCTGGCCCTCTGTTGCAAACGTGGCCATCGAAACCCATCTGAGCGTATAGTGAGGGCATTTCTAGTGAGGCACCAAACGGGTCAATTTGCCATGATACTTTGGGATGTGCGCACGCCCCGAATGTGGAGTTTAAAAATTTAAGACCTAATTGTAAACCAATAATTGTTATGGTTAATAAATAATTTAATATACAAAAAAATAATATATTAAATATTTTTCAAACTGTAAATTTATGAATAAATTTACATTTTATTGCTAACAACTTATTTTTTAAAATTTATTTGGTATACATATTTCAGCAAAATTGTTAACACAATAAACTATTCTTTTACAAATGTTATTAATTAAATCTATCGTTTAGGACCTTGGTCAATTTTGAACACATTTTTATACTGATCCAAAAGTAAATACATTATTATGATATAACAAACTTACCAAGTGTCATCTGATCAATAATATTGTTATAATGAGCTGAGCCCTCATCGTTCACAGTCCAGCCTCCGTTCGCAAACACCAGCCGTCCCTCCGCTACCAGTTTGCGGACCACATCCCGGCGCTCGTCAGTCTGTGTGCGCCACCAGCGGTGGAAAAAGTAAATTTCGACCTGGGTAAATCGACGTGCAGGGTTTTTGTCTAGTTCTTTAACCACGTTGGCTATAATCTTACGGACATAGCGGTCATAATAGTCGTCGGCTGTTCTCATCCAACCCACGTCGTCGTGACTGTGGGCTATGAGGTGTATGTTTAGCTTCGATGGGTCGGTCACCGGACAGGCGCTATACCCGCACTCGGCCCCCACCGGTCCAATGTATAGTACACCGGCTGTAATAACGGCGCCCAGTATTGCAAACATATATTTCATAATTAATATTTTTGTTAAATCAATTGTATAAATATTGTACTAGTAAAATTAATTTTTTAAATTGTCAATTAATTGCATTAAACAATGTTGTTTAAATAAATAATAAATTTCCATAAAATATATTATTTATAACTCCATTATAGTGTAAAATGATATTTTATATTTAACTTATGTTTAATTGTCATTTGTTATTGTTGTAATTGTTATTTGCTAGATAAATTCAAAGTTTTTAGTAGTAAAGCATATGTTTGTTTTAATAAAATACCAATGCTCGTCTGACATTGTAAATTAAATTAAGGCAATTTTACTATTTAATTTTACATATTGTTTTTAGCTATATTATTATATTTAGATAAAACAAAGAATATTAAAAGTAAGACAATTTAATTACATTAATATACTTTATATGAATCTAAGATTATTTTTATTAATTCATACAAGATTGAATGCTTGAATTTAAATAATTCAAAAATTTTAATTCTGCCTAAATTTAGTAAATTGTTATAAATATATGTCGCGTATTTACCCTTATTAAATGTAATAGCATTTAATAATTAATAGCATTTAATTTAATGTGTAATAAATATTATCGCCATTGTTTAACTAATATACACAACAAAAATTTAAAATGTTAAGTGTTAGCTTTATCAATTTAATTAATGTAATTTATATTGTATTGTCAATTATTGTGGCTAGGATAATCTACTGTATTGTTAAATTTTACACAAACCTGGCTAATTACCCACCAGGACCAACTCCATTACGACTCATAGGGAATGTCTTATGTAATGTTTTGCACATAAATATTAAATAATACTAATAATTAACAAAATAAATATTAAGTTTAATTTGTATTTTTACCAAAATTAAAGTAGTTCGTATTTTTTATAAACACTTGACTGAAGAGACTAGTAAACTGAGCAAGGTGTATGGCCCGGTATTTACTTTATGGATAGGTCCCTTACCTTTTGTGTTCATCTGCGACCTCGATATGGCTCGCGAGATGTTTAATAATCCACATTTCAATGGCCGTCCGGACACTCACTATAGTTTGTGATAATAATAATTAACAAATAATTAATCATGTTTAATGAAATGATAAAACATTTAGAGAAACTATTTAACAAAGGTCAATACGTACAAGGTATTGTCAATGCTGATTACGGACCATGTTTTATTAGTAGCCGAAAGATCGCTATGACTACAATTAGGTTTGTTTTTATTTTGTTGAGTACAATGTTTAGCATGTTAAATAATATAATTAATATCTAATTTATAACACCTGTAAAACAAATAACACCTCCAGCAACTTACACGCCTATGCTACCTAAGGGCTAAGTTATTACCTGCTACAAAGCTATTAATATTATTTCTTATTTACTAATTTGAAAGGTTAACAAATATGGTATTTTAAAATAATTAATTTCATTTTATATGATAAAGTTATAAAGAAATTCTTCTATATGAAAGATTTATGTGCTTTGTTTTGCCTAATAATTAATTTAGGAAATGTGAAAGGGGTTACACCACACAAACATGCAAACACTAAATCCGGCTAAATACAATTTAAGCAAATAGTAGTGGGGCATTGTTTAGAATTTTATTATTGGTTCACACACTTTTTTACAACCATGGAGGTAATGGTATTACATTGTATAAAATTGTTGAATAAGACAACCAAACAGTAAATTTATTTAAAACAACTTCAGAGTTGATGACAGCGCAGAGAGCGGTACTGCGGACTTGAGTCCAGTGAGTTGTGCTTTAGAAGAGAGGTCATAAAGTAGCAATTTGGACGAGTCTAGCGTTGACAACGCTTTTGTTGCCAAGAATTCAGGTGGAATATACGAGTCACCATATTTCATCAATACTTTAAGCAAAGCCATTGAGTACGATGTAAATTTACTTTTAGGGTAAGAGTCTTTAATGTTATCGCATTTGGTGTCCGGCTTAACCTTATATATCTCTTCTAGTCTCGTATACATTGACGTATAAGTATCTAACCTCTTCCGGGCGTATTCCCTGAAACCATCTTGATCATCGTGTATTTTGACAACGTTATCAAAAAAATTACGCGCAACGCTACAAATAATAAATGTTTTAATTAATACATGTAACTATTGTATTAAATTAAACAAAGTAACTTTAACAAAAATCTTTGTAAAAATTCCTAATTGTGTAAATTACTACTCTATCATATTTACCATCCAGAATATCTTCACCACAAAAGCAAAAATTGCACAAAAGTGTTTTCCCTAATTATAAAATATTAATACCATACCACAATATTTGAGGCAAGTTAGTTTTGTTTAGTGTATACGCCTCGGTCAGATAACCAATAAATTGATCTCGGAGATTTTTTGACTCGCCCAATTTTCTATTTGTAATATTGGCGTATTTCACCTGGTTCTTTTCAGGCAATTGGCAATAAATGTTCATTTTATCGTAGAATGTGATGACAGGACTCGCCATAAGAACGTAACGCACTTTTGCATTTAAGTACAACACAATGTAATTTAATGTGATCGCAATATCCTTGTAGCTGTAAATTTATTTTGTGTAATTGCATTATTAATTGTTTCAAAATTCAATTTTTATAAAAATTAAATAATTAATGTAGTCGTAATAATAAACATTAATTTTCATAATGATAATCATAATTAGTACTATTCAATTACTTATATTAAATTATTACAATAAATAAGATTGCCACAATGTGCAGGCTGCCCCACAATTTAGTCTGATTTATTATATTCAGTAACAAATAACAAATTTTACTTACAAATTACTGCCGACAGATAATACGTTGCCATGACTTCTGCACTGCTCTCTAATTTGTTTTAAATTTTCCGGACATTCAATTCCGTTATCAAAAATCTCGTATCTAAAGCCCACCGCATCCGCCGCCGCCTCATCACTCTCTTCAGAACAATATATCACACCTAAGGGTCATATAATTAGTAATTTGACCATCATTATTAAATCTGCGCATGCGTTCAACATGCACAATGATTTACTTGCCAATTAGTGCCAATAGAATAGATACCTTCATTATTTAATGATTATATTTAAACCCCTCTAATAACAAAGTTTTTATTTGTTAAGTATTAATTTTAATTTAGTATTTACAAAATTTGCAAATATGGTATTTTAAATTAATTGGTTTTCTAATTATAGATTTATAAAAGTACAATCCATTCTCGATATAAGCAATGGTTTGTATTATATTATCTATACTAATTAATATTTTTATTGTAACCAAAGTTTTTCAAAGTAGGCAAAATTGTACATTTCCTGGCAATAATATCATCATGTTGATTATGGGATCATAGAGGCAAAACCGACCTTGTGAAAAACCCTGATTGTAAAAATTTTTATTTTGGCTCTTTTAAGTTTTATAAGTTTTAAACATTATTCTTAAAAATCTATAATAACTATAACTTTTCAAAATATGCATTTATTCACTTTAAAGTCAAATATGCACTTATAAACTATAGGTAAGGGCTTATTATTGTAAAATTTATTAACGTGCTGTGATGTTTCAATCAGTAATTGTAACTTTATATTATGCTATTAATTTAAAAGCAAAGTTATTATGCATGGTAATAAAATTTACACTAAACAATGGTTCAAAATAATAAAATATAAATGTAGGCGAAAATTATTCTAAAGCCCACACACTTATATAAGTTGCTACATAAAGTGCCCATACATTTGTCAATACAAATACAATTATTGATTGTATAGTTCCTCTTAGATAACAATATGTTCTATAATAACAATATTTCAGTTATAAAATACTAGTTTTACAATATTTATAAATGTTTATATATTTTGAAATAAGGTAAAATAAGATACTTAATTAGTTAGCGAGGTTCGTCTTTACATATATTTTTTGAAATATAATGTTATCAAATCATAAATCATAGTCTTGTGATGAATATAAGGATCATAAAAAAATTCTAACAAAGTTACCAATAAAATATATATTTATTGTAGGTGATTAATTGTATGATTGTTACAGTAACCATAAGCAAGGAATGAAAATATTTAATATATGGTATAAATACGTTGAATAATAAAATAAGGTAACATAAATAGTTAGCCCACAATATTCTTCATATAGTTTATATACAATATTTAGATATTTTATAAAATAATTTCTAATAAATAAAAAAATGAATTATAAATTGTTTGTAATAATTGTGACGATATGTCTATCCGTTGTGTTATGTTTGGCGGATAACAACACAGATGTGACCAAAATTGTTAAAAATAAAGGACAGGTTTTATACGCTGTGATCGGAGAAAATTGCGACAATTGTGAGGCGAATGACCATCGAGTCTGTATAAGCGCGAAATGTTACTGCGAGCCAAATTACTACAAAAATACCCAGGGTCAATGCGAACATGAATATTGCATATACGATGGGGACTGTATTGAAAATGGTGATTTTTCCCGAAGTTGTTCGGCATCGGGCGAGTGTTATTGCGATCCGGGCTATTGGCAGGACATGACTAATGGGCGTAAATGCAAAAAGGATGATGGTACTTACACTTGTTTGGACACTGATAATAAAATACAAGTTGATAAAAAGTGTCAATGTAAACCAAATTACTATAAAACAAGCGATGATAGATGTGTGGCCAGAACGTGCTTAGTGAACAGCGAGTGTACAATAAATGGCGACTTAAACCGGAAATGTTCTGCGGGTAAATGTGTTTGCAATGAGGGCTATTGGACAGACACCAAGAATGGTGGTAAATGTACCAAGGATATTAATTGCGATAATTGTCCGGCAACTGATAATAAACTTTGTATCAGTAATACATGTAAATGCAAACCAAATTACTATCAAACAACGGATGAGAAATGTGTGTACAAGTCGTGCACGACTGACACCCAGTGTGGGAAAAATGGCGATTATTACAGAAGTTGCTCGGCATCGGGTGAGTGCTATTGCGATGCCGGCTATTGGCAGGACATGACCAATGGGCGCAAGTGCAAAAAGGATGATGGTACTTACACCTGTTTGAGCACCGATAATAAAATACGTATAGACAACAAGTGTCAATGTAAAGTAAATTATTACAAAAATAGTGATGATAAATGTGAGTACCTGACGTGCACCACAAACAGCCAGTGTAACAATAATGGCGACACTCAACGGCAATGCACTGCGGGTAAATGTGTTTGCAATGCGGGCTATTGGGGCGATGCTAGCAATGGGGGTAAATGTAAAAAAGATTATGGTTGCAGTAATTGCAATTCGTGGGACAATAAAGTCTGTGTCAGTAATACATGTCAATGTAAACCAGATTATTACAAAACCAGTGATGATAAATGTGTGTACAAGTTGTGCGCTACGGATACCGAGTGTGGTAAAAATGGCGATCTTTACCGAGAGTGTAGCGACAATGGGATGTGTGTTTGTGAAAACAATTATTGGCCCGACACTAGTAATGGTGGTAAATGTGTATACGATTCATATTGCTATAATTGTGGCTCATCTGACAACAAAGTCTGTATAAGTAATACGTGTTATTGTAAACCAAATTATTATAAATCAAATGATGGTAAGTGTGAGTACAAGTCGTGTGTTTTTGACAGCGATTGTACCAAAAATGGCGATTCAAACCGGGAATGCAATTACGGGTCGTGTGAATGCAAGTCTAGTTATAAAGAGGATACAAGTAATGGACGTAAATGTAGTTATGATTATGATCGCATTTACAGTGGCGTAGATTTCTGGACGTGGGGCTGGATATTGATTGTATTTCCTGTGATTATACTAATTAGTGTTGGCATTTGTATTAATAAACGGCGTCAAAGACAACAACGCGCCCAACAGGTGATTGCCGTACAGACCCGACCCACACAAATGCCAGCACAGGTGGCGTTTGGTAATCCTATTTACGGCAATCAACAAATGTATGCATTTCAGGCGCAACAGTACGGCGGACCAGCACTACAACAAGCCTTTATACCGCCTCAACAATTACCCCCGCCTTACGCGCCCCCATCCCAGATATCTACAAGTGCTCAGCAATTAAATAATACTAACTTCACAAATGGCATCCAAAGTACACACACAAACCCTGAACATTAATAACATATTATGCAACTTTACAATTAAATTCTTAAAATTTGTAAAATTATATTAATATAATTTAATTGTAGTAATAATTTTAAATAGAATAATTTGTTGTGTTGTTGTATAATTTTTTGTAAACTTTACTTTTTGTTATTTAATATTTTGAATTTGAAAACTTTAATTTTTAATTATTAATAACAATAATTTCAAACATTGTTATACCTATACAATTAAGCTCCGATTTGGCTAGAAAATATTATCGCAAATATTGGTCACTTATATATGTTACTTCTCCTGTATTTTTAGTCTAGATAGTATTGTGATATTAATTATATTATTTAAGTCTATATTCTTAGGCACCATTCTTTGGCCTTGGCAAAATAAGAATAAACTTTTGCAATATTCAATTTGCAACAATATGCAAATATTTTATTTTAAAAACATGTGGTAAGTCTATCCAAACATACCAAAGATTGGTACTTTGGATAAATTGCCCACAAACGGTATTTTTGACGGCAGATCATATTGGCGTAAGTTTGAGGGCAAATCAGTTAGTTCTTTAGGGGACGAAACTAATGTTGACAACGCCTTTTTTGCAAAGAATTCAGGTGAAATATATGAATCACCATATTGCAGCAATATTTTAGACAACAACATTGAATATGATTTAAATTGACTT